GAGTTATCTGCCCCAGTGACTGCACAGGGAATCAGAGCAGGAGTTCCAGGCTCGGGGCCATCCCCATGTCCATCCCTGCTTGGAGCTGGCAATGCTGAGATGATGTTTCATCTGTTTGATAGCTCAAAATGCCTGGGGCCTGCAATAAAATTCATTTCTTGCACTGTAAATCTTTGCTCTTTAAGCGTGGAAGAGGTTACAAATGTGCATAAAATTGAAGTGCAAGTGATTACATCTGGCTCTGAGTCACTGTTGACAGCTCTGCCTTGCTCTGGGGTGCTGTGGGAGCTCCTTTCTTTGTGACCTGTGCCCAAGATAATGAAAACCAGTCAAGTGATGAAACTCATAAGTCCAAAGAGGATTTTTGCCTCTGTGTATTTGTTTTTGATGTGTAACTGGTGTGGAGATGCAGCTGTTCCCCATCCTGTTCCCCACTGCTGGAGGGGGTGGCTGTAGGCTCTCCGTGCCCCTGCTGCTGGGAAGGAGTGAATTCCCTGTGCCCCTGGAGTTCCCTGTGCCTCTCTGGGGTTCCCTGTGCCTGTCTGGGGTTCCCTGTGCCTCTCTGGGGTTCCCTGTGCCCCTCTGGGGTTCCCTGTACCTGTCTGGGGTTCCCTGTGCCTCTCTGGGGTTCTGTTCCTCTGGGGTTCCCTGTACCTGTCTGGGGTTCCCTGTGCCCCTCTGGGGTTTCCTGTGCCCCTCTGGGGTTCCTGTCGGAATCTGAGATATTGATGATTCTGAGATTGTAGAAAGTCTCTGTCTGTCAGCCCCGCTGCCAAAGCAGAAGCCATAATTGGTCTGTGCTGTTTCAAGGTTGTTTATTCTGTTTATCTCTAACATGTTCTGCTGCCCTGCCGCAGCTCTGTCCTGCAGGGCAGCGTGTGGGGCTCTGCCCTCAGTGGGATGGTACAAACATTAAATACCACAAACTACCTGTGCTGGATTTACAATAACGTGCCAATATCTGTCACCTACGTTGGACAGTGTGTCCCCAGCCTGAACCAACAGAAAAATGCCAACACCACAGTGAAACATGGAGGGCATGAAGAAGGAGAAAAAGGACAAGGCACACCCAATTTCCTCCATCTTGTCCCCTTTGGACCCTTCATCTAGAATCCTAAAATTTTACTTTTGCACCCGTGCCACACTTAATTATTACTGATATCAAACACTCAGAGCTGGTAATTCATGCTGTAAGATTGAAAACTCTTTTCCATGGACAGAGATCACAGACAGTGTCTCTGGGGGCTCTGTCCAGGGGGGTTCCTGACCCCTGCCAGGGTCCCAGACCTTCCAGGACAGCCAGAGGGAATGCCATGCCAGGAGCGGGAATGCCATGCCAGGATCAGGATTCAGTGCCGTGTGTCCTGGATTCGAGCATGATGTTTCATTAGCGTCCCCCATTTTCATGTAAATTAATTTCTTTGAGGAAAATCAGATCCATACCTGGTGCTAATTGGCAGTGCTAATGATGAGCTGTGACTCAGGAGACGTTCATTACCGAGGCAGAGCCTCTCCCGAGCTGTCCAAGGCTGGGGTGTGTTGGAAGTCGCACGGTGTTGTTGTTGAGGTAGGACGGGAATGAGAAGACTTAATTAGAAGGCTGTTGAGAGTAAAATTTTGATTTATTTAAAATATACTGGTTTTTTTTTATATAGAGTTTTGTAAAGGCTAAATCTATTGGTTTTGAAGTGAAAATAACTTATATTATTGGTGCAGAGTGCTTGATGCACAGTGATAGAACTTAATTATAAATAATGTGAGAACAAGAGAGATAAAGAATTATTTACATTCTCTCTAGTTTTTTTCCCAGGCGTCTGCCTGGCTAGAAACTCTCAGTTCCTTTTTTTTGACTGAGTGTGAGTCCCACAGCACAGAGCTGCAGATTGCTGGAGTGAGTGCAGGAGCAGAGTGGGGAAGTGCAGCAGAACCATCAGGGACATGATCCCTCCTGGCCTAACAGCCTTTCAACAAGGAAGATTGTCTTTCCTCTCTGAAAATAACCCCACATCTTTTATTGATCATCGCAGCTGAATTATGGATGATGCTTTTGTCAGCTCCATTATCCTGGTGAGGCAGGGCCGTGCCAAGGATTGTGTCACTGTCTCAGAGCCCATCCAGGTACCCACAGCATTCCTTGGCTCCATCCCTTTGGCACCAGTGGTTCCTTGTCCTGCTGGAAGTGAGAGAGGAGTACTGGGGCTGAACTGGTGAGAAAACTTGTCAGCAGCATGACTGGTTTTGCTGGGAGCCCCAGAAATACCCAGCAACACCAGTTCAGACCGTGCCACACTGGAGGGGTGGCCTGATCTGAACTCACAGTGGGAGCATCTACATCTGTCATAGAAACGCTGCTGCTCCTTGAAATTGGAGATGTAATGGGTAAAGCTGAAGTGCATCACAAAATAACACACGGAATTACTGTGCAACCTGTTCCGTGATGACATTTTTTTCCCAGGCTCATTTTACCCTTCTTCGGCATTTAATAGCGTTCCCCAGTTTATTGGATATTTGTAGTGTAGCCTGGAAGGATAATGAGTTTTATCCTGGCAGATGTTGGACACCTTCGTGTGCAAGAGAAGTTAATGGGAACTGAAGATGATCAGCCCTTCTGGGATCAGTCCTTGATTGAACAGACAGCACTGACTCCTGTCTGGGGCAGCAGGAAAGAGCTGAATGAGGGTTTCAGGATAATATTGCAAAGGGCTGCAGCTCCACGTGAGGCTCCTCCATGTCCATCTTGGAAATACCTGGGGCTAAAATCCTTCTTGTCTTTGTCAGTGAACCAGTGAACACCACGGGAAATGTGGGTATTGGGCTGCAGTGTGCTCAGAATAGTCTGAATTGTGGGGCAGTGTTTCTGAGAAGCCAGCACTGCTGTCTGACTGGTGACACTGCTGCCTGGGGGCACCCCAGGGTGGGGAGCAGAGGGAGCTGGGCCTGGTCTCTGGGGGCTTGGGGTGCTTGGGGGGCTGCCAGAGATGCAGAGCATGCTCAGGGGCTGCCAGAGATGCAGAGGATGTTCAGGGGCTGCCAGAGATGCAGAGCATGTTCAGGGGCTGCCAGAGATGCAGAGCATGCTCAGGGGCTGCCAGAGATGCAGAGGATGTTCAGGGGCTGCCAGAGATGCAGAGGATGCTCAGGGGCTGGCAGGGATGCAGAGCATGTTCAGGGGCTGCCAGAGATGCAGAGGATGCTCAGGGGCTGCCAGAGATGCAGAGCATGTTCAGGGGCTGCCAGAGATGCAGAGGATGCTCAGGGGCTGGCAGGGATGCAGAGCATGTTCAGGGGCTGGCAGAGATGCAGATCCTGCAGGGGAGCACACAGAGCCCTGTGGAATCCATGTCCTGTTTGGTCTGGTTTTGCAGAGGGGCTGAGAGGAGCCCCAGGAGGCCCAAACCCAATGAAGTTTGAAAAGCACATTTGCAGAAAAAATCCAATTGTTGTTCTTGCCCCTCCTTCCACAGCGTCTCTTAAATCTTCCTGAGAAGGTTTTAAAATGAAACACACCACATTGAAAACCTCATCCAAAGTGTGAGTGGAGTCTCCCCCAGCTTAGCAGGCTGGAAATACTCAGCAAACTGCTTCAGTTATGCCAAATTCTCCCAAAGACTGTGGGATTTAGCCTTCAGTGGTTTAGCAAACTGGGATAACTGGAAATCCAGGCTCTTGTTTTGGTCTCTGTGGAGTGTAGGTTGGAGCTCAGGGAAAGGTCCTTCCCCCAGAGGGTGCTGGCACTGCCCAGGGAATGGGCACAGCCCCAGAGCTCCAGGAGCCTTTGGACAGTGCTCCAGGGATGCCCAGGGTGGGATTTGGGGTGTCTGTGCAGGGCCAGGGGCTGGGCTGGGGGATCCTGCTGGGTCCCCCCAGCTCAGGAAGGGACACAGTTCTGTGTCCTGGATCTGTCAGTGTTGCCAGAGTACTGCAGAACACTTTGCTTTGTGTTCAGCTGCAAATATTTGCAGTTTTTTCCTGACAGGAGCATGTAGCAGCGCTCATAAAGTTCTGACTGGTTTGATTTCCTTCTGTTTGCAAACAGATTGAATTTGAAGGTCATAATTAGGAAAGCTGGTGCCTTCATCCCCATATTGAAAAATTCTCAGAAGTCATAAAACTTGAATAAGAATCACCTTATCCATGAGAAAAGCCAAGTTTAGCCCGGGAGGTTTAAGCAGTTGCAGGAAATGTCACTGTTTTTGTAAAAAAGAAATCTTAATAGGATCTGGTTGTGGTGCCTGAGCAGCGCAGTCACCCAGACCGTGGGAGCCTGACAAAATCAACCCCTGCTAATTCAGTTTATAGCCAGAGCTGGGGCTGGGGCTGGCCTGGGAGCCGCCTGCCCGGCACCCTGCGGTGGGAGCGGGGGGTTGGAGCCACCAGCGTGTCCCCATTGCGGGCATGTCCCTGTCCCTGGTGTGTCCCTGTCCCTGGTGTGTCCCCATCCCTGGTGTGTCCCATTCCTGGTGTGTCCCTGTCCCTGGTGTGTCCCATTCCTGGTGTGTCCTGTCCCTGGTGTGTCCCATTCCTGGTGTGTCCTGTCCCTGGTGTGTTCCATTCCTGGTGTGTCCCATTCCCGGTGTGTCCCATTCCTGGTGTGTCCCTGTCCCTGGTGTGTCCCATTCCTGGTGTGTCCTGTCCCTGGTGTGTCCCATTCCTGGTGTGTCCCTGTCCCTGGTGTGTCCCATTCCAGGTGTGTCCCATCCCTTGTGTGTCCCTGTCCCTGGTGTGTCCCTGTCCCTGGTGTGTCCCATTCCCGGTGTGTCCCATTCCTGGTGTGTCCTGTCCCTGGTGTGTCCCATTCCTGGTGTGTCCCTGTCCCTGGTGTGTCCCATTCCAGGTGTGTCCCATCCCTTGTGTGTCCCTGTCCCTGGTGTGTCCCTGTCCCTGGTGTGTCCCATTCCTGGTGTGTCCCATTCCTGGTGTGTCCCATTCCTGGTGTGTCCCATTCCTGGTGTGTCCCCATTCAGGGGACAGGCTCTGACCCCTGTGTCCTTCTCTTTCAGGCCCTGCTGCAAAAAAGAAATACGTGAGCTACAACAACCTGGTGATCTAGGCCCAGCTGCCGTGGGGCCACCAGCCGCCCTGCCTCGCTGAGCTCCCCGCACGGGGACGGGGACGGGGCCCAGGCACGGGGCAGGCGCGAGGAGCCCGGTTCCAGGCTGGCCCCGGGATCTCCTGCATCGCTGCCGGCTCCACCTGGCACGGGCCTGGCCGGGGCCTTGGGACTGCCATGGCCGTGGGACCACCATGGCCTTGGGGCTGCCATGGCCTTGGAGCCGCCGTAGCCTTGGGGCCTCCCCAGCCTTGGGACTACTGTAGCCACAGGGCCACCATGGTCTTGGGACCACCATGGCCTTGGAGCCGCCGTGGCCTTGGGGCTGCCATGGCCTTGGGGCCTCCCCAGCCTTGGAGTTGCCGTGACCGTGGGGTCTCTCCAGCCTTGGGACTACCGTAGCCACAGGGCCACCATGGCCTTGGAGCTGCTGTGACCTTGGGACCTGTCCAGCCTTGGGACCACCGTGGCTTGGGGCCGCCGTGGCTGTGGGACCACCATGGCCTTGGAGCCACCATGGCCTTAGGGCAACCATGGCCTTGGGACCACCATGGCCTTGGGGCTGTTCCAGCCATGGGACCACCATGGCCTTGGGACCACCATGGCCTTGGGACTGTTCCAGCTGTGGGACCACCATGGCCTTGGGGCCGCTGTGGCCGCGCCTCAGGAGCGGCTCCCTGGGCCGGCTGCGCCCGGCTGCTCTGGACTCTAAGGGGCTAATTCTGTCTTTCTATGTACTTCCAGACTGCAAGTTTTTGAACTCTCTGTACAGTTTGTGAGGATTTTTGCATATTGCCATCCATGTTGTTCGAGGTCACTGTTTGTTTTTTGGATGCACAGTTTCATTGAGGCCCTGTGCTCTCGGCACCTCTCAAACCAACCGACACCTGCGGATCTGAGACCTGTGTACATGACTTGTATTATTATTCTTGTATCACTGCAATCCATATACCTTATTTTTTTTAACTAAACAAACAAACAAAAAAAGAATTTAAAGACCAAAAACTGTGCTGGCGAAGTTTGTCCCCCCCTTCACACCTCCGATGGGCTGCAGAGGAAGCAGGAAAGATTTTTGCTGAGTTTTAGTAGAGGTCTTGATCTTTGGAATGCATGCCAGTAATGTATTTTATGGTACATGTTAATAATTTATGTTTGATATTTGTATTTGTGTTCTACTTTGTTCTTTTCTTTAAGGTATATGACTATTTTGCAATAATTTCAACGATTCTTAGGATATTTGGAGGAAAGAATATGGCTTTTACATGTCTTGAAGTTTTTCTTTGTTGATGCCCCACCATGATTGACCAGTGTGATAAGGACTTACAGAAGCATGTATGTTTTTTACTGTTTGTAATAAGTAATTTCGTTAATCTTGCTGCTTATGTGCCAATTTAGTGAAACCAATCTTTGCCGCAACCTCCTCCCTCCCTTTCCATTCTCTGGATCCTGTGATATTATCCAAGAATGTATCAATAAAGGATTTTGGTTAACTTTTTTTTATTTACTCCAATAAATATATTTTTCCAGTCGTTCCCTCCCCCTTCCCCCTTGTGACCTAACATTTATTTCATGCCCTTGTCAGACATCCAAAACCCAGCACCGAGGGGCTTGTGCACAAGGAGGAGGTCTGGGGGAAGGCCTGGGGGAGCTGGCAGCGGGTTGCAGGGGAGAAGTGCTCGGAGGGGACTTTTAGGGGTGTGTGGGAGCCCCAAAATCCAAGCTGGAGTGCCACGTGCAGCCCCAAAATCCAACCTGGAGTGGCTGGGGTACCCCGTAACCTCCTGCCAGTGTCCGATACTCCAGAGCTGCTGGCAGCTGCTGACACTGCCGAGACCTCCGAAGGACACGACTTCAGCAGCACTCCAGAAGGTAATTAAATGAGCAATTAATCACTCTGCCAGGCACAGGATGGCTGAGCTGGGGAAGGAAGAGGGAAAAGTTGAGGCAGGAGGTGAGAGGAAACTCATTCCCTTTGCAGCAGGGCACCTGCAGCACCTCCAGCTCGGCTGCTCTGATGGGGCTGGGGAGGGGTTCAGCCCCATCTTCTGCAGACAGCTTGCTCAATTAGCCTGATGAGGTTAATCAGCGGCAGGAGAAGCTGTGACAGCTGCCAGGATGTCACAGCCTGTGACTGCACGGCCACGCCGGGCACGTTCTGCACCTCAGGATGGGATGGACTGATGCTGGCTCCGAGGGAACCACCCTGGTAGAGCTTTGCTGGCCACAAACCAATTAACAGAGAGCTGATAATGAGGGAGAGGTGCTGCAGCATTTGCCTTTTCCCATAAACACGGACTGAGCCAGCACTGGGCTAAATAAGTCCGTTGCCATCAAACAAATGCTTCTTGCTCAAAGACTCTATTTTTTTTTTTTTTTTTTTATGAATGGGAAAAATGGTTTATTAGTTTGTTCTTCACTTTATTTTGGTGAAGGGGGACTGAGGTGGGAAGAGGCAATGGTGCTGCTGGGAGGAGGGGTTGGGGAATGAGGGACCCTGTGTGCATCAATGGCTCTCTCAAAGCTGTGCCTCCATATCCATAAATCTCTTTTTGTGTCTGTGTGGGCACTCTGTGTTACACACACGTGCCCTGGGCAGATTGGGAGCCCCAGGCAAAGTCACCAGGTTTTAGGGAAACGCTCCTATTCAGTCATGAGGGGCAGAAAAGACCCCCCAGCTTCCCAAACTCCTCAGAGAGGAGTTGGGATGCAGCTGGAGCCAAGCTCAGACCCAAACTTTGCCAGGCCTTTGTGTCTAACAGACTGTACAGGTGTTACTGACTCTAACACAGCCTTTTCTGCAGGATTGAGGGTGCCAAACCAGATATATTTATGTAAAAGTAAATGATTTATGAGGATAATGATTAGACAAAAAGATCTTGATCAGAATTCTTTACTGAAAGCACTACTACAGCAAAGTGCACTCTTTTTAAGGATTATGAAAGCAACCCCAATTATTCAGTTGAGGTTGATGTTACTCACCCAGACCAATGACTGTGGGCAGATCTCCAGCTCAGCCTTGAGGGGTGACCTTGAGCAGCATCCTGGTTCCAGGATCCCCACACAGCTCCAGAGGGTCCCTGGGAGTCCCTGCACTCATCCTGGGGCTGGGATGGTACAGGATCTCTCCGGGATCCCCACACAACCCCAGGGGATCCATCAGGAGTCCCTGCACCCATCCTGGGGCTGGGCTGCTGCAGGATCTCTCCAGGGTCCCCACACAACCCCAGGGGATGTGTGGCTTTGGGACTGGTCAGTCAGGCTGGTTTTGGCATTTTTCACCCCAAAAGCAGCGTGGCCCCCTCCATCCAGCTGTGCAGGCAGGGCTTTATTGGAGCTTTTACCCCATCCCAGGCAGAGCATCCTGCTACAGCACACACAGGCAGAACTGATAATCACCACATATCCATGCTGGTTGTATTAAAATTATATGTATATGTTAATATTTAATAATATGAATGCATTAGGAAGTTTTTCATCACCTCCACCCCAATTTCTATGCATTAGACTGTGAAGCAAGTCTCTGAGCCCAGCAAGGCTCTGGTCCAAGAGCTGACACAAGGTGAAGATGTTGCACTCTGGATCAATTTTTATTTTTATTTCACAAACTGCACCACACTATTACACCCACACAGCTCCTTTTCAAACACAGAACCACAAGCCTTTAACTCCATTTAGAGTCTTTTATTTTACAATTGGCAGCACTTAGCATCAGTGCACTGTTATCATTGTTTCCATAACAGCTTCGTCTCATTCCCCACTGAGTACACACTGGTGGCAGGATACTGGTTTGGTTCTTGCAGGGTTTCTGGGCTGGTTTGGTTCTTGCAGCGTTTCTGTGCTGGTTTGGGTCATGCAGAGTTTCTGTCCTGGTTTGTCCCTCTCAGGGTTTCTGTCTTGGTTTGGTTCTTGCAGAATTTCTGTCCTGGTTTGTCCCTGTCAGGGTTTCTGTCCTGGTTTGTCCCTCTCAGGGGTGTTTTCACACCTGGGACCTGCAGGTGCAATGTGCCTTTGCCTCTGGCTGCACAATTTCTGCCCTGGGCTGTGCAGAACAGGGATGGTGCTGCCTGGATGGGCTGGGAGCTGCAGGGGTGGGCACGTCTCCTGCTCTGGGGACCAGCCCCAGGTGATGGGGTCACTCCTGGGGTGTTACAGACACCTCCATGGGAGCTGTGCTGCTCTGGGGACCAGCCCCAGGTGATTTTGGGGTGCTGTGACACCTCCATGCAGAGCTGTGCTGCTCCGGGGACCAGCCCCAGGTGATTTTGGGGTGCTGCAGGGTTGTTACAGACACCTCTATGGGAGCTGTGCTGCTCTGGGGACCAGCCCCAGGTGATTTTGGGGTGCTGCAGGGCTGGAGCCCCCCCTGCCCTCGGGCTGTGCTGTAGGACCCAGCTGCAGACAGGAAATGTTCCCTTCCCAGCCTGGTGAATGTGCTGTGAAAAAGGCCCGTGTGATGCTGAAAGGGAAAAATTCCCCCAGAATGGGAGTGATTTTTTTTTGTTGCCGTTTATTATTGAGACTGAATTACACCAAATTGTTTTGGTATGTAAATGCCAAGTTTATTGTTCATTAAAATCATTGCAGAGTTAAGCTTTCTGGGCATGTTGTATGATAGATAATGACAATTATTTAGCCCGAGTCAGAGCTTAGTCTTAATTTGTGACATTAATTGCCTTTATATATAATAAAATGCACTATAATGCTCCCATATGCAGAATCTGTGCATCCATGAAAGCGCTAATCAAACATATTTATTAATTTTGGGAGAGCTTTTTGTCAAGGCTTTGATACAGTCGAGTGGTTTTTGGTAAATAACATTTTTTAAGATGTTTAGCAAAATATTTTGATAATTGCTTTTTGTGCTAGTGGCATAATTAATATCATTTCTAATAGATTAATAAGGGCTGAGGGGTGAGGTGCTGCTTCCATCCAGCTCGGCGCTGCTTTGCCTCCGGCTCCCCTGGAGTCAGAATTCCCCCAGCAGCCTCAGTGCCCCGGGCCTCCCCCGAGATCCCCAAATACAGGAGCACCCCTGAGATCCCCAAATACAGGAACACCCCTGAGATCCCCAAATACAGGAGCACCCCTGAGATCCCCAAATACAGGAGCACCCCTGAGATCCCCAAATACAGGAGCACCCCTGAGATATCCCGAATACAGGAGCACCCCTGAGATCCCCAAATACAGGAGCACCCCTGAGATCCCCAGGTGCAGGATCATTTTACCCCAAGTAGGATTATTCCAAGACCTTGATCTTGCCTTCTCCATTCTGCCCAGCAAAAGAAAATGTAGATAGAATAGAATAAAATCATATAAAATACAATACAGAAGTTATATGGGAAGAGGTGTGTAACCTCAGGTTTTTAAGGCAGTTTCCTTCAGCCATGTGAGTTCCTGGGTTTGTTTGCTTTGCTTTCCTTCAATATTTACACGAGGAAGTTTCAATTGCTTTGCTTTACTTAAACATTGAAGCCCTTGTGTGCTTTACTGGCATAAATATTTGTTTTATTTAAAATCTACTTAGCTGAATGATCAACAACAGAGGAAGAAATCAGAAATTACACTGGAATTTAAGAGGAAGAACAGCAATTAACTCTGCCAAGGTGTTAACCTTTTTAAAATGCTGCCTTTGCTGAGTGATGTGTGAACACATACGAATCCTTCCAAAGTCATTTTCTCCATTTCTATCCATTTTTCCCTCCCCTTACTTGGTTCGGGAAAAAATTTTATCTGAGAGAAGTGGAAAAGAACCTGTTTATTTAATGAAAAAAGCACTTCTTAGTACGAAAAAGATTAACAATATTAGATGACAATTAACAATATTAGATGACAATAAAGCCTGGGGCTTCACAGCTCTCTTTCCAGGCTTGTTCTTGTAATTCCATCACTGGTTTGGCTCCTCCAGCACTGCTGGGCTGCAGCCTCACACGGAAAGGAGCAGCTGGGGCTCGTGTGCTCTTCCCTCCTGTCACAGGGATGGATTTTTCACTCTCAAGATAAGACAGTGCCTGACAGAGCCAAATATTGACAGGGAGGTAGAGAGGCCTGTTATGATAATGGGCATAATGAAATGCTGCTTCCCAAAGGATGCTTGGGAATACATAACTTTCCTTACTATGGAATATTGATCCCCTCAAGAGGAATAAAATTAGCTTTTTGCCCCCCTGAGCAGGCTGGAGTCCCCCAGGTGCCCCAGGAGCAGAGCTGAGCTGCCCAGCTGTGCTGCCTCACCCTGCAGTGCCTGGGCTGGCTTTGGGCATTGCCCTGGGCCAATTAGTGAATTATTATTATTATTATTATATATTAGTGAATTATTTATTATTATTAATGAATAATAATAATAGTTATTGTTATTATTATTATTATTATTATTATTATTATTATTATTATTATTACTACTACTACTACTACTACTACTACTACTACTACTAGTGAATTATTTATCTGGGCAGGAGCCAGCTCTGGGGCAAAGGGGCAGCAGCTGCTGCTT